CTGGATGTACACTCCTATGTAACTTTTGTTTTGTCAAAGTTGTATATATACATAGATCTTCATGTTAATTATACGTTATAACTTTTGTTTTGTCAAAGTTGTATATATACATAGATCTTCATGTTAATTATACATTATGAATAGATGTTGTGCAAGTCTGAAAGTTCATGAATGGAAAAAAAAATTATTTTGATACAATATATGGTGAAAATCTTAAATTTGTCTTGTTCTTTAAGAATTGACTGTCACATCTCAGGAATTTTAGTATTATAAAACTTGGGGTGTGACAGAACCGGACCCGACCTAGGAACCGAGGGGTAGACCTGATCCAGGTCTAGGTATGAGTCTAGAAATTGGACCCGCCGGGTCAAGTCTGGGTCCAAATCTTGGGCCCAAACACTATTCGAGTCTGGTTCCGATAATATTTTTTAGGTCCCAATATATGAAATATATTTAAATATAAATACATAAATATTTTACTTTTTGGGTCAGATCTCGGTCTAGGTCCCACACTATATTTTTGGGTTCGAGTCCGGTGGTCAGATCTGGGTCTAGGATCCATATCAATTTTCTAGGTCCGGCTCCGGCTCAACCCATTGCCGCCCCTGTCATTATTTGTTGAGATGTAATTTACCCCATCATAATATGAAGTAAAATGATACTCTATAGCACTTATAGCAGCACATTTGCAAGTAAGAATCAACTTTTCTTCACCTTTTTTATTTAATATCTGAAATTTGTCTTTGAATAGCAAAGAAGAAAAATCATCGACAGGAATCATCTACTTGCACCTTCTTGTCTGTGTTTCTTCTTTTCTTTTGCAAAGGTCGTTCTTATCAACCTTGCTACACGTAATTATAGATCTTCCCGTTCAAATAATTGTTTTTTGGTTTTTGATTGCTAGAAAGATTTTATTGAATGTTTTAGATATTTGAAAAAAAAAATGAAAACATTTATTTTGATTGGAGTCATGATGGATTCTTCTTTCAGGCTGTGAAATTTTCTGGCCTTAATACCAGTTTGATACCATTTTTGGTATTATTATTTGGCTCTCTCCTCCCTTTTATCTCTCTGAAGTTTATGCCCATTCTAGCTTGTAAAATAGGTGTTGAAGCGACTGTAATGGTAGAGAGATGGGAAATGATAATGTGTTTCATTGTTTAATCATGTGAGGATGGCAATGGTGCATTATAAAATTGCAATAATCTATCATTTTTACGCATGATCAAAAGCCTTTCCACCATTATATTTGAGGTATATATCAATGTGTTGGATGTTCTGCATATATTTGATTTTGTACTAAGGTATATTATGTAGGTCGCGCCATAATCACGGTTAAACTTCTGATGAAAAATACATACTCCAGAGCCATTAGATGTAAAGGCTGATAATCAACACTGCAGCCATCCAATTTCTCAGTTGACAACTGAGTAGAATGTCAAATAATGTCTTCTAAATTTGATTCGGTTTTGGAGCACTACTAAACATCCAAATCGCTCCAACCCATTACACATAAAATTTGGTAGTTAAGAACTAGTTAGGCATTTCAAGTGATTTGTAACTTTTCAAGACCCTTTTAAGAGCCCACACCTAGTAAGAAGCTTTTGGGGTAGCTAGACTCGAATTGAGTGTTAGATAGAGAAAGAGAGAGAGAGATTAATGGTATAATATTGGTGTCCTCCTTGCCCATCCATTTACTTTAATGTATATACATGATTAATGTCAAGTACTACGGTTTTTCACTAGCAGTTTTTAAAGCTAGGGTTGAGTTCGGTGCTCATGAGAGAAAAAGAGATAGTCCGATGGTGGACCTTACACAGGAATTGAAATTGTTTTACAAAGCCTAAAATTAGGGTTCATCAAAGAAATCTTCAATTACATCTTAGTAACAAATTGATTTGCGTGCTACCAAATCAAACTATAAAGCTCCAATATGCCATGGACAATCATTTTTATATAGCACTCTCCCATTGTTAGGCCCTATTACAATGTAGACTATCATTTTGTCCAAATATATTATTGTCGTGTTCATTTTGATTAAGTATTCTAATATATTAAACAACAAATTTCCAAACAGCATGAATAAACTATGATAAAAAAATGAATCTCTCTTATTTTCCATTCATGATTCATGCATATTTCCTCGTATATGGTATGTGCTCTTCTCATAACAACTAAAAATAATAGTTATGAACAGTTTAGATTGCTAAATCTTCATAGAGTCGATCAAACTCGATCTGATTATATTAGTGTCTACTTACTCTTTAAACCATTTGTCCTATGATAAGCAACTACCATAAAGCGTTACAAAACTGATATAGTGCCATAATTCAATCTACTTATTGCCATTCTACTCCATTACCATGGTTCTCTCTTTATTTGTCATAAACATATCCCCAACATTTTCATAGAAAGATTAAAAATAAAAAAAAAATGCATAGCAATATACTTTCAATGATAAATCCATACACATGCCACAAATTCTTTCACACACATGCAGAGCACGTGCCCCTCACTAGTTCCCTCTAACCATGAATTTCATGGATTTTTTGTGCTCTCTCTAGGATTAGGCTCTTTCATTTGAGTAATAGTATAGAGTTCTTGATCCATGGAGGACGGACTCAGACTGGTTTTTTTCTTGTGATGAGTTACAATCTGCGAGCACTACCAAGCTTCCAGATAGATTTTGTGACTTCAGTATTTTGAAGCCATTTGATTTAATCGAACGGCTGGGAGTCCCAGCCAAAGATAATTTATATGTTGTTGGGGTCTCACAGAAAGGTTGCAAATGCAAATTTCTCATCTTTAAGAAATGGATAGCATGAGCGCGCACAAAAAATGTAACAGGGTACCATTAGGATCAGCTCCACTCATATGCAATGAACCCTAGAATGGGCATCCCAAGTCGTACAGCAAAGTACTGTTTCAAAAACTCAATTAGAGGATGTGGAGACCTCTTTTTTTTGTTTTTCTTTCCCATTAGGTCAAAGCAATGATTCAAAAGTCGGCGAGTCGAATCGGATTGGGAACTGGTAGACCCGATTCGGTTCCAATGAAATACCAGAAATCGCTCGGTTCTAGAAAAGAACCAGCGATGTCATGCCGTAAATCGCCATGTGACGTCATGATTCTCTCGATTCTTCGATTTATGGCGTCGTAGCCCGCCGATTCTTTAATGGGCATTTTTGTAAATTTTCTTCTTCAATAGGCATTTTTGTAAATTTTCTTCAATAGGTATTTTTGTAAATTTTAAAAAATACATCAAAATACATGTACCTTAAGATCCGCACACCTCATCACGTGACTCTCCTCACTTTGTACACGTTATCCTCGTTAACTACAAAGAGGTATTTATTAGCTACAACTTTCTACCTCTCCGATGTGAGATAATGTGAAGGTATTAACTTGAAACATTAATATATTATATATTTTGTTTGCGCTTTTAATACTACTAAGTAGCACGTGGCTGATGTGGAGGGCGTGGGTTTCATTCTCCTTGAGACGAAAGGGGGTTCTTTTATCAACTATTTTTCTCGTCAATTTTATTTTTTTCTTGTCAACTTTATATTTTTGAGGTCAAATTTTTTCTTATAAATATTTTTCTTGTCTATTTTATTTTTTTGAGGTCAAATTTTTTTCTTATAAAAAAAAATGAAAGGTTTTTTTATCAATTTCGTTTTTTGTCAAATTTTTTTATTACCAAAAAATGAAAGGTTTTTTTTATCAATTTCGCATTTTGTCAAATTTTTTTCTTATCAATAAAATAAAAATTTTCTTATAAAAAAAAATGAAAGGTTCTTATCAATTATTTTTTTTGTCAAATATCTTTTTTTTTGTCAAAAAAATAAAAAGTTTTTGTCACAAAAAAAAAATTAATAAAAAGTTATTGTCAAAAAAAAAAAAGTTCTTATAAAAAAATAATAATACAAGAAGTATTTTTGTCATAAGAAAAAAATAAAAGGTTTTTTTATCAATTTCTCTTTTTTTCAAATTTTTTTCTTATCAAAAAAATGAAAGGTTTTTTTTATCAATTTTGCTTTTTGTCAAAAAATTTTCTTATCAATAAAATAAAAAATTTCTTATAAAAAAAAAATGAAAGGTTCTTATTAATTATTTTTCTTGTCAAATTTCTTTTCTTGGTCAAAAAAATAAAAGATTTTTGTCAAAAAAATAAAAAGTAATAAAAAGTTATTGTCAAAAAATTAAGTTCTTATAAAAAAACAATAATACAAGTATTTTTTTTCAAAAAAAAGATCCTTGCTAAAAACAAAAAAAAATGTCATACGACAAACATTTCTTGTAAAAAAATAAAAACTTTTTGTCAAAAACTAAAATGTTCTTATAAAAAAATCATTCTTTATTGTAATCCATGATTATATACTTCATTCATGATAGTTCTATGATTTTTATTTTATATGAAGTAATTTAATGGTTAAAATAAGTTCAAGAAAAAAAATATCTCAATATTCACATATTGATGAAAAAAAATAAAAATTAATAATATAATACCCCGATTTCTTATTAGATTCTTAAAAAACAACATTTATAATAAATTTTAATAACTTTTTTATATTTTTTTTACTACTTAATCTGACCAATTCTCGATCCAAATCGTCGATCTACCGATCCGGATGAGTTTTTGAAGTGTCCGACGTGGGCCACCGATCTGTTTTTTAAACCACAAGGTTAAAAGTATGCATATTGCTTAGCAAAAAAGCAAGCTTTCATGACTGAGGTTGAGCTGAATCGTTGATCATCATCCAGCGAGGGCCATATTCAAAAGTGAGCACAACATATGGAACACGGTACTAGATTTTTCACCATTTAGGCCTCAACTGGAGGAATCCCGGGTACAAAGAGAACCTAGCAAGAGAGCATCATAGTGATGCTACTACCATGGCTCATATGACCGTTGGGAAGTCTCAAAATTCCTCATACACTGACCTTATATCAAACGAAAACTCATGACCTCTGCCGAAGAAAAGCTATCACGAAGCCCCAATAAAAACTGTTGTTAATTTAATATATTTATGCAGGCAAATGTGTATCTCCTAATCAATGACCAGCCCCAGGAGTTCCCAACACATGCTTCTGCATAATAAGGCTGCAACAGAGAAGCCCTAACCATATAATTTTGAGCTCCCTATATCTGACATCATCACATTTGCAATGAATGAAAAGGAGATCAGTCTCAAACAAAGGAGCAATGCGTGCAGTAAGTATAGAGGGAAAGTACACTACAATTCAATAAACTATGGTATGCTCACAATCCTTGAGGTCATCCCTCATAGGGAACATGTTCTGTTCTGGTGGCCCAACCCTCCCCCATCACCCCAGAAAAAAAAAAAAAAACTCTCCATGCACAATCCATTGGTTGGAAGGTGATTGACGGCAATCAACTTTCATTTTCCATAGCATACTGGATTATGGTATCATCATCATCATCATCATAGCTTTTTCCCAATTATGATATACTTTTCCTACTGTAACACGGCACAAAATCAACCAGATGCATTCAGTAGTAAGATCTTGAGCCACCACCTCCAGACAAGTATTGGCTACCAGAGTCACGGCTTGAATAGGTGGAACTGCCATAATCATACCGATCTTCTGGTGCAAACCTGAAGGAAACAAATAAATGAAAAACTTTAAGATATCAAGATGGCCACACAACGGGTAGTTAATTAACTGCAATACTTTGCCCACAGTTCTAATCCCATGATGAAAGAAGCCCCCTCCCCCCCCCCCCCCCAACCAAAAAAAAAAAGGCTCTGGGCTTACCTTGAATATGTCCCATAAGCTGGAACACCATGATGTGATTGACGAGTCACCTCAAGATCTTCACGACTTCTACTTCCCCGTGAAAAAGATCTTGATAGGACAATGTCCCCGTCCTTGCCAAGAAAAATCATAGAATTTCTTGCATCAATAAAACAAAGAATTTTTTTATAGTAAGGAAAGGTAACTATCATTATTCAAAAAGCACAGAGAAACTACTTACAAGGCTGGAGTAAGGGCGTTTTGAACCAGAAAAAGAATAATAATCACGACCACTAGGTTCCCTAAGCTCGTATTGCTCGTAACGAGGATTATAATCATCTTCAGGATACAGCCTATGAGAACGAATTCCCTCACGCGAATCCGAATAATAGTCAGGCTGATGCCCTGAGCTATATGTACCAGACAAACTGTCGTATCGATCTCTATATCTATCTTGCAAATATGATGGACCTAAAAATTTATGACGGAATTCTAAATATTAAAGCTCAACAGATAAACCCAAAAACTCAAAACTACAAAAACAGAGAAGAAAAGATCTGAACTCTGATAAAATAAGAGGCTTACCAGGTATATGCCTATCATCCCTCTCAGGCCTCAATTCGTATGTCCTTGAAACATAAGATGCCTCTTTTCTTGATTCCCTTACACCTGATTGATATTTACTACGGCCACGGTCACCATATCGATCATCATAACTCGTGTCCCATCGCCGCTCTCCTCGTGGCCTAGCTTGGTAAGAGCGGCCAGGTCCCTGGGGTCGTGTGTCCCTCCTTCCACGAAAGCTACTAAAGAATCCTCTCCAACCTCCTGTTACTGAAGGCTTGCGTTTTGGCAAGGGTTTCCTGAGAGTAGCCTTCACTGACACCTAAAATCCACAGAAAGTAGAGCAGAGGTGCAAGGTCAAAAAAAAGAAAAGGGTAAAAAGGAAAACAACCTTGGGGAAAAAAATTAAAAGAAACCAACAGAGCTTAGGATGGATCACTCAATAGAGGCTAGGGGATTCATACTTTCTGCCCATCATCCTCAATTCCATCTCTATTGACACCTTCAATGCATGACAATGCCGCATCCCTAGTTGTAAAGCTGATGAATCCAAAATCCTTACGCTTGGCAGTGGGCATATGACGAGCAAGCTGCACCTTTTCAACTTCTCCATATTTTTTGAAGTGCTCCTCAACTTGCTTTTCATCCCAAGTAGGAGGTAGACCATCCAAGAAAACAGATTTTACCTGCAATGATAAAAAAGACATTATTATATAATCCAGAGGAAAGATCACTAGAACAAACTCAAAACATGAAAAGAAATATTGCAGCGATAGACAAGGGACAGTACAGTATACCAATGGGTGCCACTCTCTCCCTCTGTTACCGTCCATCATTTCATTGGATGGTGATGAGCCCAATCGACCATGGATTTCCGCAGTCAATGAAATTATATTATACTTTGCTCTTTAACAAAATAAGGACTTGCTATTGCATGATAAAATTAGAATCTTATGACTGAGAAACGAAGCCAGTACCTGCGCCATAACTTCCTCATCTGGTTCAACAGCAGACCGAGCGAAAGCAACTTCTGCGTTTATGTTAGTGCCAAAGAAGACATCTCTTTTCTGAAGTTTATTACAGGCAGTAACAGCATCCATATGGCAGCTGAACTCCAGAAACGCATAACCTCTATTCATTCCTTTGTTACTGGGATCATCTATTAGATGAACGTCCACAAGGTTATCCACCTCATAAGCTTTGAGCCTTTCACTCACCTGTAATGTAGCAGGTATCACAATGGTAAGAGAAAAACTCAAGGTCCCAAAGTCTCAGATAGCTTCGATTCAAAAGACTTGCATGGTGTAAGAGTATGTAACAATGCAATGGACTTGTTGGTACTTTTGCCTGATACATAAATACAACATGAGAACTTACAGCATCTTTAGTCCAAGTTTTGCATATATTCCGCAGATATAGTGTTTCATTGTCGTTACTTCTTGTTACTCCGCACACTTTACCTCTCACCTGAAAAAAAAATAGTTGTAGTTTTTCAGTAAAGCGACATAAGTGTATGAATAAGACACAGCAACTTATCTTAAGAATGCATTTTGTTTAGCAATTTTACTCAATAGCATAGTTCTTTCTGTTAAGTACTTTCTAAATAGAAAGTTTCAATATCATGAAATGCCCATTTACCAAAAGTTGGTCTTATACTAGAAGACTAAGTTATACATGGTGTGTAGCTGTGAAGCGATGTTCTGCAACTTGTGCCTGGTGGTGAAATAAAAGACTCTGTGTTATCCCCATAAATGTTAATAAATATAATAAAATTGTATTAGTTGCATGGCAGAGAACAAGTTAGAAAATGGGTGTGAATGTCCCAATTGTCAATGCAATACCTCCATTCCATGCACTCAAAATCACCCCTTACCATTGGCTTCTTTACGAATACAAAGAATAAATATATTTGTATCAAAAGATAGGCGATCTATGGAATCTCATCGAGGACATCCACCAGTTATTAAGGAATGGTAGCAATTTGACTTGTTCATCACCCATGTTTTCAGTGGGTCCCTTTCACTGATGATTGAAGCAAAGGATGACGAAAACCTTTAGCCCAATCAAACGAAACTGTAGCCTTGCTCTGCAAATGCCTTCTGCAATATGCAGAACTCATCACTTACTAGACCCAACAAAATAATAAACGCTCTTTTGCCACTAACAAACATGGTTCAAAAACTCACGGATCAAACCAGAACTCCCCTGGTTTGACCAGGCCACCATGTCAGCAGGTGAAACATATCATTTACTTGGTCTACTTAAATGGCCATGCATTCTCTCAAATAAAATATAGTCTTCAATATTTGTTTTCCCCCAATCAATGGTAGGTTATTAATCGGACTTGCCACTTTCTATCTTAACGCTTAAGAGTATCTATTATAGTCTATTTTGTATCATAAAGTGGGCAGGACTGATCTTTGCATCTAGGATTCATTATCTGCATTCTTCTTCCTTAGGTGACAAATCGAGAGTGCAAAGTCAAGAATTTCATCCATGTATGCTTGAACAAAAAAATGTATAAAATACTTGATCCCTATGGCATTACAAGAAGATACGGTAGCTTTTCAATGTAAATCTATTAATTTAGTTAGCCGCCCTGATAACTACCCTCAAATAAGCAATTATGCACACACAGGCATACTTTAAAAGAGATTGCATACAATCAGACAGTTGCCTTAAAGTTAGATGCAAAATTGGATGGGTAAGGTGTGTCATTGCTCCGCAGAAGACCCATTGAAAATTTATCAGACTTCGAGAGTGGTCAATGTTACACCTCAGCTGCTCCATTTCACATCTAAAAGGTATGCTACTTTTTTAACATGCATTTATTATTTACTTAGCCGACCAAATAAGCACCTTCAAATATTCAATTATGCATAGCTATACCACGTAAAGAGATTGTATAAAGTGAAATTGTTACCTTTCGTACACTAAGGCCACAAACAACTCAAGCCATCAGATGTAAACTCAGACTGCTGGGGTGAGTCATTACTCAACACATAGTCCGAGAAAAAAAATTTTGGACTTCAAGCATGGTCAATGTTACACTCTTAAGTGGCTTGATTTCATATTTGCTTGCTACAGGCAATAGCGATCTTATTGTATAAAGCTAATGGTCCCATAGTATAGTTTTACCTGTTTATAATTCATTTAATATGAAAATAAGACCTCCTCCCTCCAATTCTCGCCAAATATATACAAACATACATCCCTCGGAAAGGCTAGCATACGCCAGCTCGCGTATGGGTTAGGAAAGGCCCACATAACCTACCCCAACTCGCACGGTTAAGTGTAAACTCTGACACTCAAAAACGAAAAAACAAAGGCTGCAATTCTCTCTCGCAGCCACTGCCATTCTCTCTCCTCCCTCCCGCTGCCATTCTCTCTCCTCTCTCTATCTCCAATCTCAAAATGGCTCTTTTGAAGGTGCCTGTATCTCTCTGCCCTGCCGCCCTCTCCCTCTCTCTCTCTCCCATCTCAAATTGGGTCTTTTGCAGGTGCCTCTCTCTCTCTCTCTCTGCCCTACTGCCCTCTCTCTCTCTGCCCTACTGCCCTCGGCCTCTCTCTCTTCCCTGCTGCCCTCTCACTCTCCTCTCTCTCTCTTAAAATGGGTCCTTTGCAGGTGCCTCTCTCTGCCCTCTTTCCCTCTCTCTCTGCCCTGCTGCCCTCTTTCCCCCTCTCTCTGCCCTTTTGCCCTCTCCCACCCCCTCCCGCTGCCCTCTTCCTCCCTCGCTCTCCCCCCCTCTCTCTCTTCACAGTTGTCATTCTCTCTCTCCCTTCGGCTGCCCTCTCCCTCTCTCTCTGTCCCCCCGCTGCACTCTCCCTCTCTCTCTGACCCCCTCTCTCCCTCACACTGTCATTCTATCTACATCTCTCTCTCTCTCACCTCGTCTCTCTCCCTCTCGCATCAAGCAAGCCCAGCCCTGCAGGCAGCCTTTTCCCTTAACAGAGTGTCAAGGCAGTTTGTTTCCTTTGAAAGGGTGCACGGAGTCTCAATTTGTTTTAAGGCAACCTTTAAAATTCAATTACGAAACACAACCGTGATCATTGGATCGGCCCAGATTGTTGGGCTTACACTGTTTCATCAGCCCATGGGCTGACATGAGCCTTTTCCTATATAATAGATATATATGGAATTAATTTAAGAAAAGAAAAACGGAAAAATGGAGTTCATACAATTTAGAAATCTTGGAATTAAAGAGAGATTCTACCCCTAAAAATGTAGGTGAAGAAATAATATAGATATGTTTCCTCTTTAGTGGAACCCTATCTTACATCCTTTCTAAAGATATGGGTTATTATAACTACATTTTTCTCAAATTTTCGAATAAGTAACATATAGTTAAAATAAGTACAAAATGGGTACTTATTCAGAGCACCAAAAATATTTCTCAAATTTTTAGGCAATTATTATAATTATGTTTTTCTAGTTATTAAAAATCATAATAAAAACAATAATATATTTATATTATTTATCATAATTATGATATTAAGTATGGTATTTTAATTAGGTTATAATTATTGCATTGGAACTTGTGTATTTAATTGTAAAATTCATATAATCAGATGGGTATTTCAATTTAATGGTCATCTATTTATAACACATTATAAATTCTAGAACTCAGTTATACTCTTGATAGATTATAAGATTATAAAAAGTAAATTTTCATCTATTTTACATCATCATCATCATTATCATCCAAGCCTTATCCAAGTCATTTGGGATCAGCTATATGAATCATGTTCCTCCATTCTTTTCTATCAAGGGTCATACGCTTAGTATCAATGTTTTAAACAACGGTGACCCGGATCATAACCGGACAATCCGGATCGGATATCGGCTAGGCCGTTCCGTATCCTATAACATATCGGATCCGGCTGGTTCCCACAACTTGGCACTTTCAAAATATCTATACTATATTATTACGCCAGAGTTAAGGGGTGGACGCATGTCAAAAGAATAAAAAATGATCCTATCTTTAGAGAGGGTGTAAGGTAAGTCATCTTTAAAACAAGGAGTGTAGGGCCATTGTTCCATAATGGATTCCATTTTCGTAGGATATAAAAGATATCTTAAAATATATTCATTTCTTAAATTTAAAGAACCATATCTCGCCCTTTCTTTTGTTTGTAAAATTAGTTCCCTTTCCATTAGACCACACCCTCTCTCTCATCCATACCAGAAATTCACTCCCAAAGCATCTATTTCCATAGGAAATATCTAGGGAAAAGATAGAAATTAAAAGATAAAGTTCTATTTAGTATGAAACATCTCTTGGTGTTTCTCTAATAGAATAATCCATATCTTTCGTCACCTACACTGCTTGGGATGGAATCTATCTTTAACACAATAGAAATTAAAAGATAGGGTTCTATTTAATAGGAAACATATCTTGGTGTTTCTCTAATAGCATAATCTATATTTTTCTTCACCTACACTGCTAGGGATGGAATCTCTCTTTATTTCCTAGATTTTCTAAATTATATGAGATGTAAGGTAAGTGACATTTAAAATAAAGAGTGTAGGGTCATTGTAGAATAATTGATTCTATCTTAGGATATAAAAGATATCGTAAAATATATCTATTTCATAAATTTTAAGTAACTATATCTCACCCTTTCTTTTGTGTTTCTAAAATTAGTTCCCTTACTATTGGACCGCACCCTATGTCAAAAGAAGAAAAATGATCCTATCTTTAGAGAGGATGTAAGATAAGTCACCTTTAAAATAAAGAGTGTAGGGCCTTTGTCAGATAATAGATTCCATGTTCTTAGGATATAAAAGATATCTTAAAATATATCTATTTCCTAAATTTTAAGGAATTATATCTCACCCTTTCTTTTGTTTCTAAAATTTGCTCCATTACCATTGGACCACACCATCTCTCTCATCCACATTAGAGAATTCACTCTTACAGTTTTCTATTTTAATGGGAACTATCTAGGAACAAGATAGAAACTAAAAGATAGGGTTCCACTAAGAGGAAATATATATTGGTGTTTCTAATAGAGTAATCTATATCTTTTTTCACCTACATTTCTAGGCTAGAATCTCTCTTGATTTCCAAGATTTTTTAAATTATATGAACTCCATTTTTCGTTTTCTTTTTCTTTTTCTTTTTTTTTCGTTTCTAAAATTAGTTCCCTTACTATATATATATATATATATATATATATATAGTATAACTAATT